GATCATTTTCGATTACTCGAATATTTTCGAATAATCTAATATTTTCGATTTCGATTTTTTTAGAATAATCGATTATTTTCGATCAATCGATTATTTTCGGCTAATCGATTATTTTCGGCTAATCGATTATTTTCGATTAATTGATTTTAATCGAGATTCGATTATTTATTTTGATAATCGCCCAGTCCTAATTTCAACCCCCCTTAGTTCCCACTTTTAGTCAGATTTTTTTTTTCAGAATCAATAGGCTTCATTTCCTTGTACAGCTTGATTTTTACTAAAAATTTCAAATTGATATCTTTTTTTCGTTTTTGATTTATGATTTTTGTTTAATATGTCAATCCCTCTCAACACCTCATTTTAATTCAGATTTTTTAAAATTCAATATACTTCATCTTCTTATATAGCTTGATTTTTACTAAACATTTCATGGTCGATATCGCTTTTCGTTTTTTATTTTTTTTACTTCTCTTAACCCCCATTTTTATATAATTTTTTTTTTAAATAGGCTCTTATAGAGCTTGATTTTGCTAAAAGTTTCATTTTTATTTTTAGTTTTTGAGTTAACATTTTTTTACAATTTCTACCCCTCTCAACCCCCCTATTTTTTAAATTTTTTTTTCAAAATCAATAGGCTTCGTCCCCTTACATTGCTTGATTTTTTCTGAAATTTTCAAATTGATATCGTTTTTAGTTTTTGACTTATCGTGCGGTCAAAAAACGTTACATTGGACGGACAGACGGGCAGACGGACAGACGGACAGACGGACAGACGGACAGACGGACAGACGGACAGACGGACAGACGGACAGACGGACAGACGGACAGACGGACAGACGGACAGACGGACAGACGGACAGACGGACAGACGGACAGACGGACAGACGGACAGACGGACAGACGGACAGACGGACAGACGGACAGACGGACAGACGGACAGACGGACAGACGGACAGACGGACAGACGGACAGACGGACAGACGGACAGACGGACAGACGGATAGACGGACAGACGGACAGACGGACAGACGGACAGACGGACAGACGGACAGACGGACAGACGGACAGACGGACAGACGGACAGACGGACAGACGGACAGACGGACAGACGGACAGACGGACAGACGGACAGACGGACAGACGGACAGACGGACAGACGGACAGACGGACAGACGGACAGACGGACAGACGGACAGACGAACAGACGGACAGACGGACAGACGGGCAGACGGGCAGACGGACAGACGGGCAGACGGACAGACGGACAGATGAAACGATTGAATAATACTCTACTGTGTGAAGAGTATAATAAAATGCCAGTGGTTAAAATGAAACCTCAATAATGTTTGCGATAAATAAAATATCGAAAAGGCACTTTTTATAATTTTTTACCAATGAGACCATTTAGGATTTAATAACTATATTATCAATATCAACTTTTGAGCAGAATTGATAAGTAAAATTTATTTGGGAATAACCTATTTTGAAAGATGTATGAATTCGAATGTCAATATGGAATTTACGTTCAGTAAACAGTGGAAATGTCAATAAATAATTGTAGGTTTATTATGTAGTATAAAGTTAAAAAAAAACTTGTTCAATGTTATTATGTTGTTAAAACTAATAATTGTATTTTTATCTTATTATTTCATCAATAGAATTTTTGGTATTTTTCTCTATTCAAATCTACCAGAAGCAATGTATATTCTCCTAAATTCATACGAGTATTTGGAAAAATATTTTCGCCTAATACATGAAAATAAAGTGGCAATAGTATACTAGTATACAAAAAGATAGGGTGCCGCAAGGCTTTGCCAATTCCCAACATTATCTTCGTCTAAAATATTTTATACTGGGCATATCACTACCAATTAGATTGATATAATTTACTGGTTGTTCATTGATTATTGATGATTTATAATTAATATATTTTTGATTAATAAAAGTATTTTTGTGCTAGTCACAACTCACAATGTCGATGTATTTTTTCTTTAGATATAACAAAAAAAATTACCTACACAATCGGTATAGAGATAAGAAGAATTTAAATATTTACAGATAATATCTCCTATGCGGGAGAGTTATGTTTTACTTTGATAAAATTCAAATAAAACAACGAACATTTTTTTTTTAAATTATAGTTTTATGGAAACAATTTTTATTTTATCTAATAATGTACATTCTTTAATAGTAGTTGCTCATTTTTTAAGAGCAGAATACCGAAATTCATAGGCTGCAAAACGTACAGAGGAAAGTAGATGTATTAATCCGTGGCTCAAAAATATTGATTCAAGAGAAGCGATTAAAAATTTTGTTAAACCATTGCCTTTTGTAACATAAAATGACGAAATTAAGTTGAATGACACTTAGTTTTTTATCTTAAAAAAATTGTTATATCAAATAATTTGACAGAAAAACTAAGTGACAGTTATTCACACAAAAAATCAGAAAAAAGAGATCTTGTTGACACTTATCTAAATATATAATACAATAAACCCTAAATTTATTGAATACAATATTCAAGTTATTCTAAAAAAATAAGGGCTGGACCGCGATAACGAGCCTTGAATTTCAAACACATTATTAAATATTACAGCAGTATCTCCTGAATACCTAGTTTAATTTTATATAAAAAAAATGAAATTTGTCATTAATTAATTTTAGTAAAAATATACAGTACATTATTGGGTATTCTCACAGGAGCCAGGGCCGTCCTTAGCCTCTCTGTCGCCTTTGTGCAGGCAAAAATATGGCGCTCCTATGTTAAAAAAAAACAAAACTTATAAAACAAAATAATATTTTATTAAATACTATTATAATAGTTAACAAACAAATATAAACCTTAACAATTAATAATAAAAAAATAGTTTTGTTCGTATAAGACGGAACTTTGTCTACGAAATACTAAGAATTGCCCAGCTAACAATTTTATAATGGCAGTAACCCTTTTAAAGATAGAGCGTTTCTTTCTAAGTTGAAAATAAGTTTGTTGTATTTTGTCAATACAAAACTTTTTTAGTCAACGAACTCCTTTACCTATTTTATAATAGCTTACAGATGATCCACGGAGGATTCATGCTTATCCAAAATATGGGATAGATTAATCGCCAATCAGAACAAACATCTTTGCTGTTTAATTTAAATAATTTTTTAGTTCGCATTAACTAGATTTAATATCAACGAAACTGCTGTATACAGGGTGTTTCCGAACTTGGCGTCCAAATTTGTAGGGGTGGTGGTTCGCATAATTTGAGACCGATTCGCAGATTTCATTTTTTCAAAATATTTAAAATAAAAATAATTAAATATTAATTAAAAATTATAAACAGGTACGGTCTTGCACAGCGATAGGTTCGCCTCGACTCGTACGCGCTACGCTTAGAATCGACAAAATTGCAAATCGTATCTGTTTTTGAGGACTATTGCGCTACGCGCTCAGGGTAGGACCTGCTCTTTGTTTTTTTTTTATAATGGCTCTATTTTGTTTATTATAATTTTTTTAGAAAAATGAAATCTGCCAATCGCTTTCAAATTATGCGAACTTACCACCCCTACAAATTTGGAAGCCAAGTTTGGAAACACCCTGTATATTTAAGGATTTTTTAAACTCTTCATTGACAATTTTTATAAGTTATTCAGAATATTTAATACTTGTTTGTGCTTGATAAAACGCATATCAAAAATTGTCGAACAATGGAATAGCAACAGATATTTTACATTATTCTTCAGATGTTTTTTGAGACAGTTTTACTCTATTTTTACAAGGAAAATATAGAAATCATGATTTTTTCGACCTCGAGTGTTTGACGGATTTTTAGATTTTGGGGTTACCAATGGTTTTTAACCTAATTTTTCCCTTGTATCTTAATCTTAATTTTTTTTTATAATAAATTTTGAAAATTAAATATTTATTTGATCATGAGAAAAACATGTTATAAAATCATTAATATAAAAGTTTTGCATAATCCTGTTTTATTTTAATTTAAAATTCTGTAGATCATAAATTAATTACTACCCCCCCATGTTTCATACATTTTTAAAATCAATTAAACGAAAGGAATTCAAAAATAGATCTAAAAATGGGGGAACCCATTTAAAAAATTGAAGAGATGATAGCAGGAGTGAGAGAGTAACTTTTTCAGCAAACCTAAATGTGACAATATCTCCCCCTTCGAATATTAATTTACGTATTTTTTGTTTTTTGTAATTATCATTCTTTCAAAAGTTACTTAAGGTGGATACTTTTATCTAAAAAGCACGCTATATTTTTTTAATTTTTGATTGCCCTTCGTTAATAATACCCGTCAGTTTGGCAGCAGCATCATCGCAGCCGAGTCCTACCAAATTTTTATCTAGTTCCTGAAGATATTTTATTATTAAAGCCAAACCTTTGGATTTTTTAATTTAGGATTTAATTCGAAATACTTCTTTATTTTTAATTGCTGTTTAAACCTTTTCCAGTTCAATGATTTTTTTATTTCAAAGATTTTTTATATTGTTTCTATTTTTTACGATTGCAGTTGGATTTGCTGAACTTTATTATTTGATAAATAATTTCGGAGGTTTTAACCTTCCCCACCAAACGGCCTTACATTTAAAGTATCAGTGAGTTGATTTTTGTCGCAAATAGGTGACACTAATGACATTTTGTTTATAAGGAATAATCATAAATTTCTTTAGTTCTTAGATTTTGTCACACGAGATGATTTGACAACATAGCCTAGAATCATAATACATGAATTGTCGCAGCAAATAATCTCATAAATATTTATTAATAATATAGAGAGGCAAAAGTGTAAATTTTCTAGAGCCAAATAAAACAATGGACAATGTTGATTCAAATGGGACGAAGTATTAAAGCCAATATTATTCTGTTAAAAAGTCTTCCTAGCTGTGGCACAGGCCTTTAATAATGCTTTTAAATGAATGAAAAAAAACGAACGTTTTGTTTTAAATCATTCAGTAATTATCGTACTAAAATAACTAAAATAAATACTCACTATCAATAATGGCATCATATTTTTTTGCAAAGATAATGTTTCAGTCGAGAACTCAAGCTATCTGGTAAATTCAGGAAACACGTGACTTCCAAGTGCGATATGGCTGTCAGAAGATGACATGGGGTTAATATTATAAAACAGAACGTTCTTTGTTATTCATTTTTTGATTCATTCAACTGGTTTTTTTGCTTCAAACATTTTTATACGGGGTAATTCCAAATTGTGCAATAATATTTCTGTGAATACAAAAAATACGAAAACAAATAGCCAAATCAGGAACTGCATCAATATTTTAGACAAACGTCGAACCCGTCAATTTTTTCATCTTTCTATAATTTCCTGTCTCTCAGCTAGAAAAGGAGAAAGAAACGAGACTGAACTTAAAGTAAAATTAGAGGCTAATGGTAACATTTTAGAATAATATTCTGCAATTATTATTTACAATAATTATTAAATTAATTGCAACCTAAACAAAACCAAGAGCGAGAAAAGTCAAAGGGCTTTACTAAAAGAACACACATTATTGAAAAAAGGGTTTGCTACAGGAACTCTTTAGCAAAAATGAGTTAAATATCATTTTAAAGAGAGTTCAGAAGAAATTTCTAAAGCATTCACGATAATATATATGAGTAAAAGATGCTATCTTTACCTCAGAAATACTATTAAGTATCCTTTGTTGAGGATTTCAACTTTACAATAGTGCTTTTGGTTGTGTTTAATGTTTATAAGAAACCATCTCATCTGATTTTACATGTAGGGTGGACAAAGCTGCAATTAATTCAATAATTGTAAATGATAATTACAGAATTTAATTCCAGTTTAAGTTCAGTCCCTTTCCTCTAATGATTTGTGTTTGTAAAAATTTTGTTTGCAAACAGCAGCACTACAGGTCGCTCCAGGCATGCTAAAATTTTAAATTATTTTAGGGTATAAACAAAATGTGGTCCGAGTTTGGCTCGGAGGTTGTACCCTGACCCAAAATGTTTAAAATAAACCATTCTTACAATAATAATTGCTACGTTTGAAATGTACCTCCTCGAGCAGAGCCAGTAGATTTTCTAGTCGCGTGACATCAAGCAAACCATATCAATGGAGCAAACGGAGCTTGGATGTATTAAAAGAACGGTATCGAGTAAAAAAACAAAACGAGGTACTTTTCAAACGCAGCAAATACATGATGTTTCCAGCCCACATATTTTTATTACTATATGGTGCAAGAGAGACGTCCGACACGCCCAACATAGGGCGCGGCCATTTTGATACAATTACTACTAGGTTAGGCAACACATTTTTCCAAAATGTTAAACTGGTAGCCTACATCTTGGTATTTTGAGATTTTAAATGAAGGCAACAAATGTAGAAGAAACGTTTATTTATTTTAAATAATATACAAGAAACTTCTTTGAAGTATAGTTATAATTGCAAGTGCATTTTAAAATAGAGGTGAGTGGTTTTAAATTATTTCTAAAGCTGTGCATATGATTTTATTATTATTACTATGATATTTTTCGCCAGTCCCATGCCCATGAAAAAACATTTTATTTTTGAAATGTATTAAAAATCTTTAAGGCTAAACAATCTAATATTATATTTTGCATTTTTTCAACTGTAAATATGGTACGAAACTATAAAATAAAAACAAAGAAATGTGAGATTAAAGAAGCTCTAATTAAAAGATATAACCACAGGAATATACTCTTGCAGGCAAGCTGCAAAAGATAGTTGGTTTTTATTTTATAATTTATCTAAAACAGACACGTTGAATTTGTTATATGTAGTTGTTAAATTTTTAAATAAAACAGACGTATTGTTCATCTACAAATAAGTCTTCTTTCAGTTGTTACACAGTAAGAAATTGCTGAATATTTTCTATTCAAGAAAATATTCCTATGGGTATTACTGTCACCACCTCCACCAATATTCTCGTTTTCAAAGATTACACAAGTTTGTTAATTGTATTAACATTAGATTGCCAGTTTACATTTTCAAAACTCTTGCATATCTCCCTACTTTCTGCTTCTATAGCAATCGATGGTCTAGCTATGCTTTTCTTAGTCCGTCGACTCAATATTGTAAAAAGGATGTTGACATATGATGGCTCTAAAAGACGTTTTTCTACGACCGTGTATTTTTACCCACTTTCCCGCACGCATTTTAGTTTTGAAAGTGTCACTTTCCCGCACTAGTGCGGGAAAAAATCACTTTTTCGCACTAGTGCGGGAAAGTAAAATTATGAATATTTGGCCTTACCTTTTGTATAGTTTTTTTACCTCGGATGTTATAACTATTGTTACAATAGGTAATTTAGTATTTTCCAACTATTCCATTTAATAAAATTTACTTTTTTTCTTGCTTTTTGTTATAATTTTAATTATTTGGAAAACTTGAATAATAGAGATATTTTTATATACCTTCTGTATATTTTTAAAAGTCAGACTAGGCTGTGACATGTATGGCTTGATATGGTTGCTATATGGTAATCAAGGCGTGTTATTGTTACAAAAACGTCAAAGTTGTTTGTTGAAGCGTCAACTGAATTAAAATAAATTAAAGAAATAATGGATTAATCGGATGAAGAGCTGCCCGAAGCCATTTTAAAAGCTGCAAATGAAGCACATTTGGAGGTGTTACCTGCCAAATCACGAGGAAGATATGAAAAACAATACGACCATTTTGTCACATGGTGTAAACAGGAAGGGGTAAAAACCTACAAAGTTTCTGGCGTATTTTTCGCACCTAAGTAAGTTTTTGAAATCTAATACTTTATGGTCTCGCTATTCGATGGTGAAAAGTTTAGTAAAAATAAAACAAAATTTGGATATAAGCCAGTTCCATAAGTTAACGTCATTTCTAAAACAAAAAAATGTTGGTTTTCGAGCACAGAAGGCGCAGGTTTTTACCAAAGAAGATATATCCAGGTTTATGTTAGCCCCTGATGAGGTATACCTTATGAAAAAAGTGAGTACCATTTTTGCTTTAGCTGGTGCTCTCCGCAGAGCGGAGCTTGTAAATATCACTCTCGATGATATACAAGATAAAGGCAATCTGATAGTTGTGAAAATTTCCGATTCCAAAAATCATTCTTCAAGATCATTTGTTTTATGTGAAGAAATAAATAATGGAAACTTTCTGAAGCTGTTCAGAAAGTACGCAGGTTTACGACCACCCACCACTCCGCATCGCCGCTTTTTTATTAATTATAAGAAGGGAAAATGCTCAATTCAGTGCGTTGGCGTAAACACCTTTGGTAAGATGCCAACAGAGATTGCTGCATATTTGCGTCTACCTAATCCTGAACGATATACAGGACACAGTTTTAGACGTTCTTCAGCAACATTCCTAGCAGACTCAGGTGAAGCGATAACCAATATAAAACGTCTCGGTGGCTGGAAGTCCACTACTATCGCTGAAGGCTATTTGGAGGACTCCGAAACACAGAAGAAAAACATTTCGAATAAAATTCTTTCAAATGGAAATGACTTGCAACCTTTGCTGCCACCGTCATTTTCACCTTCATGCGACCTGCAACCGATGTCACTCCCGTCCACGTCATCTTTTCAATCTACGAGCGTTACGACTATTAACAGCAAATTAACACCAACTAATTCCTCTGTACCGGCAATTTTATATAATTTACAAAATGCTACAAATTGTGTATTTAACATTAATATCCATAATAATTAGTTGTTTTTATTTAAATATTTGTATATGTTGAAATAAAATAATTTTCCAAAAATAATTTTTCCTACTTTTTTGTATATACGGTCGTAGAAAAAATAATGTTCCTAACTCATGCGTAAAGTGTCTTTCCCGCACTTGACCGCTTGCCTGAACTCCGCTTCGCGTCGTTCGGGCCAACTGCAGTCGTGTGCGGGAAAGTAACACTTTCCGCACTTGTTAGGAAAATAACTATTTTGTTAATTTTATGATTCCTGTGTATGTCTATCATACAAAATCAATGTACCTGCATCAGTGGTACTTTTTCTTCTTAGAAATTTCCATTTATCCGAAATTGTTACACAGTTTACTGTACCAAATAAAAAAATTAAATATTACAGGTCATTTTCTAACTGTTCCAGAAAAACTATTTAGCAGAGGGGGCTATTTTCTTAATGAGGCTGTGGGCTACCTCTACTTTTAGGTGTGTAGATGAGCCAGAGGTAGTAAACCTGAAATAAATAAAATTATTATAATATAAATGTTCCAAAAACTAAACAATATTAATTACATGTTTATTTATATTATTTCGTTTGATTTTAATACTGCTCCTATCTATTAAAGTAAATGCTTCAATTTTCTTGGTATTTGCCTTCTACAAAGAATTGTTTCATGATTGATAACATACCTTATTACAAAAGAGCAATAAGCATTTTTCTCAAAATGCTGAGAACGGAAATAACAGAGTTTAGCTAAAAATAATTTCTAAACAATTTGATTATTGGTTTGTAAACACTGTTCAGGAGACCTGAAAAATAAAAAGCATTTAGAATACAACAATAGAAACATAAAGTAAAGTAGCTACTGTTACTTACAAATGGAAAAATTTAAAATAAAATCACCAAATAAAGCAAGGTTTTCAAGATATTCATTAATGGTTTTGTAAAGTGTCGGTTCATAAATAATATTTTTGGGGATTGACTTTGGGTAAATATTATAACATAACCACAAAAACTATTGCGCCAAGATGTAGGCAACACGTAATAAGTGTTCAAAATAGCGGAGTTTTCTACCTCCTTTTAAAAGGCACTCAAAAAGCTGCGCAGTGCGACCATTCTCCGTATAGTAAGAGAAAATCGAAGTATGTGTTCCAGCCTGTATATTTCTAATAGAACTTGACATAAAAATACTCAATCTGACGTTACATAGCGCCATCTGTTAGATACTTGTGAAAGTCCTGTTTGCAAACGTAAAGTATATCTACGACTGTGTGAAGGAATGAAATGAATGCATTAGGATAAGAATATTCGATGCCAAGGTTATTTATTGTTTTATTGTATTCCTGTGCAAATAATCTTGTGTTTAAATTTCTTTGCGGATTAAATTTAATAAAACAAACGTTAATAATTCGGATGTGTTATATTCTTTATCTATAAAAAGATTTCAAAACAGATCTCAAAAGGTTGATCC